TGGTGTCAAGTTGCAGTGGGGGAGGTCTAGGTTGGATATTAGGAAATACTATTTCACTAGGAGGGTGGTGAAGCACTGGAATGCGTTACCTAGGGAGGTGGTGGAATCTCCTTCCTTGGAGGTTTTTAAGGCCCGGCTTGACAAAGCCCTGGCTGGGATGATTTAGTTGGGAATTGGTCCTGCTTTGAGCAGGGGATTGGACTAGATGACCTCCTGAGGTCCCTTCCAACCCTGATATTCTATGATTCTATGAAATACACAGCACCAATTAGTTATGTACCTGAAAAAGAAAATCTTTCACTATCTTCGGTAAAGGTTCATCTCTGTCATGTCAGCATATCATGTACCTGTGTGGGGGGGAAATCATTGTTCACTAATGATGCGGTTACAAGGTTCATTAAAGGTCAAAATAATTTATACTCTCCAGTAAGATACAATATGCCATCTTGGGATTTAAACATAGTGCTCTCACAATTGATAAGACCTCCCTTTGAGCCTTCAGGAAACTAATTTATTTAATTTGTCTATTAAAAGTGTTTTTAATAGCCATTATCTCTGCAAGATATGTAAGTTAACTACATTTGTTAATGACTGATCTGCCATTTACTGTTTTTCATAAAGACAGGATAGTTCCTCATACACACCCAAAGATTTTACAAAACCTCATATAAACTAATCTATAATTTTACCGGGCTTTTCCCCTCAGCCCCATACTCGTGAGGGCAAAGCTATGCAACATACCCTGGATGTTTAGACAGGGCTAAACAATTTAGACAAAAATTGTTTATTGCTTATGAAAGAAAACCATGGAAAAGCTATTTCTGTACAATTGTATATTCAAATAGCTTATGAAGTGGAAGGGTTGTTCCTTCCCCAGGGAGTTAGAACACATTCTGCTAGGTGGAAAGCAGCTTGTGTGGCTTTTTTCTTTCTAAACACAGTCCTCTAGTAGAAAAAAGTAGAGCTGCAACAAGGAGTTCTGTTCATGCATTAGTAAAGACTACTCCTTAGATTTAGAATCTAGATCTGATGCAAGGTTTGGCAAAGCAATTCTGCAGTCCTTATTGAATTAGAACTCTGTGGTCTGACTATCCAGGGTGAGTCTACTGCTTATTAATCTATGCCATGAGTGGGAATCTGCAGAGGACATTTGAAGGCTAAATTAATATTACTTACCAGTAAACAAGGTTCTCTGAGATGGACTCTCCAAGATTCTCCACTACCTCAGAGTCGTACTTACCAAAAGTGCTTAAGATCAAGGAGGAAGGAACTGAGGCAGATGGAGCGCCACACCCCTTTTATACCCTTGTCCTGGAATGCTCAAGGGTCACTGAAGGAAGTGATGAGGGAGGCATGTGAGCGCTCCAGCAGTGACTGCTTGCAGCCTTAAGGGTAGAATTCTAGCAGCGTTCAAGATCAGAGCATCCCATGAGTGTGAATATGCAGAGCGTATGTCGAAGAACCTTGGTTACAGGTAAGTAACCTTCATTTTTTTCGTATAGAGACAGTTTGAGTCTTTAAATCATAGAAATGTGGGATTGAAAGGGACCTCGATAGGACATCTGGTCCAGTCCCCTGCACTGAGGAAGGACTAGGTATCATCTAGAGCAGTGGTTCCCAACCTTTTTCATCTGGCAGGTGCCAGACAACGAGCCACGGAGGACTGTGGCGGCAGATGAGCATCCGCCGAAATGCCGCCGCAAAGCACCTCTGGATGACGCTGCTTCTCAGACGAGCATCCGCTGAAATGCCACCGTCGGCCAGTACGCGGGTGCACTTAGATGCCCCAGCGGGCACCATGGCGCCCGCGGGCACCGCATTGAGGACCCCTGATCTAGAGAATCCCTGGCAGGTGTTTGTCTAACCTGCTTTTAGAAACCTCCAGTGACAGAGATTCTACAACCTCCCTAGGCAATTTGTTCCAGTGCTTAATTACCCTGTGTGGCATTCCCTTGGTGTTGTCTGGACCAGTGAGCTGCTAGGTCACTACAATCTTTGATTCTGGGAGCCAGCCTTACCCTGCTCTGCTGTGAGAACCCCCACTCCTGGGCTGTTCACGCACAGCATCTAGCATGTAAGCTGCTCCTTGCATTGTGCAACCGAATGACGCTAGCCAATATCTCTGGTCCCAGACACAACCCTAGGAACCTCCATCTTGCAGTGTCCAGTTATGCCCGCTGGACACTGCAAGCTTATATGAGTTTGTCAGTTTAACTAAATTGA